AACGACAAGGATCTCGGCGGTGCTTGCGGTGAGATTCACGCCATGTTGGGTAAGAACGGCAAGAAGCTTCTTAACCCCCTTGTAGCTGTGCAGAATTTTGAGTACAAGATCTCCAACATTTTGGATAAGCCCCTGGAAAGTTCGTTCGGTTACGTTTCCGTGTTGCCCGGTGCCTTCTCCGCCTACCGGTTCCGAGCCATCATGGGTCGTCCCCTCGAGCAGTACTTCCACGGTGACCATACCCTCTCCAAGATTCTTGGCAAGAAGGGTATCGAAGGCATGAACATTTTCAAGAAGAACATGTTCTTGGCCGAGGATCGTATCCTCTGTTTCGAACTGGTCGCTAAGGCTGGTTCTAAGTGGCATCTGTCCTACATCAAGGCGGCCAAGGGTGAGACGGATGTTCCCGAAGGTGCGCCAGAATTCATCAGCCAGCGACGAAGATGGCTGAACGGTTCCTTCGCTGCCTCGCTCTATTCGCTCATGCACTTCGGCCGGATGTATAAGAGCGGCCACAACATCATCCGCATGTTCTTCTTCCACGTACAACTGATCTACAACTTTGCCAACTTGGTCTTCACCTGGTTCAGTTTGGGCTCGTATTATCTGACGACGACGGTTCTCATGAAGCTTGTTGGCACTCCGGACGCCGCTACGGGCAAACACGGATGGCCCTTCGGCGACACGGCCACTCCAATCGTCAACATCATTCTCCAATATCTGTATCTGGCCTTTGTCATCCTCGGTTTCATCCTCGCTCTGGGTAATCGGCCTAAAGGTTCCAGATGGCAGTACATGGCGTCTTTCTTCTACTACGGATTTGTGCAGCTATACGTCCTTGTTATTTCAGGATACCTCGTCGTCAATGCCTTCACGAATCCGGCGAATGCGATTGAGGGCAACTTTGGCGATGCGCTCAAGCAGATGTTTACGGGGCAATCCGAAGTGGCCATTATCTTGCTCGCCCTGTTTGCTACGTTCGGTCTCTACTACCTTGCCTCGTTCATGTACCTTGACCCATGGCACATGTTCCACTCGTTCCCGCAGTACATGATTCTCATGTCTACGTACATCAATGTTTTGATGGTGTATGCCTTCAACAACTGGCACGATGTCTCGTGGGGTACCAAGGGTTCGGACAAGACCGAGAGCCTGCCTTCGGCTCAAGTGCTCAAGACAGAGAAGGACGAAGCCGTGATCGAAGAAGTCGAGAAGCCGCAGGAGGATATCGACAGCCAGTTCGAGCAGACAGTCAAGCGGGCCCTATCGCCCTTCAAGCCAGAAGAGGAGGTGGAGAAGGTCGATCTCGAGGATTCGTACAAGTCTTTCAGAACCTCCCTGGTCGTTATGTGGTTGTTCTCCAACTGCGCCCTGATCGTCGGAGTTACTAGCGATGACGTGTCGACGTTCGGTATCGGAGTAAGTTGAAGACGGCGCTCGAGTGAATATTGTCAAGGAACCAATACTAACGTACCTCACAGGCTACTGCTTCTGATCGCCAGGCCGGATTCTTCAAGTTCTTGCTGATCGCCACGGCTATCTTGTCGGTGGTCCGCTTCATCGGCTGCTTGTGGTTCCTCGGCCGGACCGGAATCATGTGCTGCTTCTCCCGACGGTAAAGGGTGCAGCCGTGTTCGGTTGCCACTGCTGCTTACTGCTGCGTCATTATATACCCGTTGCCATGTACACCAATTCCCCCGTCTTTGGGGAGCTGGCGTCGCATATACATGTGTGTTTCTCTGTACAGGATAGATAGATCTCGGCGGTGGTAGGGTCAGGCCAGGCGAGGCAGGCTCGCTTTTCCTTTGAACATGACGGCCGAGGGGGGATGGGAAAGGCAAGCGAGCGGTCGGTCTGGAAACGAAAAAAGAAATTGCGTCTATTAATTTATTCTCATGAACGGACGACTTTGTTGGAGAGCTCCTCGGAGCGAGTAGGGAAGGAGATGCCAATATGCGAAGATGCCAATATGCCAAGATGCCAAGATGCCCTCGCCTGTGGCGTTGGCCTCGATTCGATATATTTCCTCTATACTTCTAATGTGTCGCTTATGAAACAATCCAAACTATCTACAAACAAAAGAACAACTCAGTTATCCTTGTAGTCTTTAGGGTGGTGCTACCTGTAGTGTTTGTAGCTAAGAGGTGTTCAGTGGTGATGCCATCATACATACCAGGTGCCTACTAGGTAGGTAGACTTAGCAGACTTATTGCCTAGGGACTGCCTAAGGACTGCCTACGGACTGCCTAAGGACTGCCTAAGGACTGCCTAAGGACTGCCTAAGGACTGCCTAAGGACTGCCTAAGGACTGCATAACTAGTAGGTCGTACATACGTGTATATAGTTATACCTACCTGGGTAGGTACTGAGTAAGAAAATGGAAGGATGGCTAAATGACTACATACCTACATACCTACAAACAACCAGCCTAAGTTGAAGTTACCCCGCCGTCCACCTTCAAACACTTCGAGATTCGGGACACTTTCGGACTCCAAATCCACCCCACCATCACATCACTAAAAAACACTTGCATAGCTACAACGGATACCTCAGGGGCATTGCTCGACAGGATTTGACTTGGTGCCTTGGAAGTTTTCCCGCCTGGGCCTTAATATTTTGTAGCCATGGAGACCCCCGAGGCGATACAGGCCCGCCACCGCAAGGAGCAGCGCGACCTGCAGTCGCGCGTCACCAACAAGAAGAAGAACGCGACCAAGAAGACGCGCAAGGGCGTCAACGACGAGTGCGCCGAGCTCGAGCGCCAGCTGCGGGAGCGCCAGGAGCAAGAGCTCGCTGCTGCTCTGAACGGAGGCAGTGAGGATCAAGGGCAGAGCAACGGTGTGCGGCAAGGGGGGGAGGAGGACCGAGACGACGATGCGGACGCGGATGCGGATGCGGATGCGGATGCGCAACTGTCGACGCGGTTACGAGATACGAGCCTCACTACAGAATCACAACCACAATCGCAACCACCGCCACCACCACCACCGATAATATCATCATCACAACAAGAACAAGGAGGAGGAGGGGCGGCAGGAAAGAAGCGCAACCGCCAGAAAGAGCGCCTCGCCCGGCGCGCCGCCGAAGTAGAGGCGGCCGCCGAAGCAGCCGAGGCCGAAGCGGCCGGCATGACGGACCACCGGGGCATCGAGAAGACGCGGCTGGCCGAGACGTTCGCGGAGCACGGCCTGGTCGAGCGCGAGATCCGGCCCGACGGGCACTGTCTGTTCGCGGCGGTGGCGGACCAGCTGGCCGAGCGCGGGGTCGGGCTCCTTCTTCCTTCTTCCTCCGGTGAGGCACAGAAACCACCGCCGCCACCGTACAAGATCGTCCGCCGCGCCGCCGCCGACTACATGGAGGCGCACGCGGACGACTTCGCGCCCTTCCTGGCGGGCGAGGAAGAGGAGGAGTCGCTGGGGCGCCACGCGGCCCGCATCCGCGACACGGCCGAGTGGGGCGGCCAGCTGGAGCTGGTCGCGCTCGCGAGCGCCTACGGCGTCGAGATCCGCGTCGTGCAGGGCGATGGGCGGCGGACCGAGACCATCGCGCCTTCTTCCGGTCCTTCTCCAGGTGGCAGTGGCGGTGGCGATAGGCAGACGATATGGCTCGCGTATTATCGCCACGGGTACGGGCTCGGGGAGCATTACAATTCGCTGAGGACGAAGGCGAAGGCGGAGGCGGGGGCGGCCAGCTAGCTAGCTGGGTTGGTTCGGCGAGTATGAGTAGGGGTAGGGAGGGTGCTTGGGTATGATCTGTCGATGTGTCTCCCCCGGCGTGCTGCCGGGAGAGAAGAAAGAAGGGGCGGGGAAAATTATATTGGGAGGTTGTTTCCCATAGCGAGAGCGTGCCGGAACCATGTATATATAAGTAATGAGCGAGATATCAACCCACGTAAAGTTTATGCGCCGAGATGCTCTTATAGCAGTCTAAACTCTGACTGTAGCTTGGAATTTGCCTATACGAGAAGGGGGGAGGGGAACCGGAGTTGTAGGCAAGGTCACTAGAGCCTCCAAACAGTAGCGCATATTCTCCATACCTAGAAATGAAACATACTCGTCGTTGGCCTATTACTACCCATGCGTATATGTTTGAAGCTTAAAGCAACCGATAAGGATTTGACATGTCTTTTTTCTGATTTTCAAAACCGATCACCCCTTTTGATCGGGATTTCTTCTAGCCCCTGAACGCTGGCTGAGACGTATATAGCCTGGTAACGAGTGATCTGTCGAGAACACCGGGGATCTTCCTGGGTGAGAGGGGGCAGGGACACCGGAATGGCATGGTGTTACTTTGCAGAGTATCATAGCCCCTGTTATTTTACCGCGGATGGTTTTGTCATACACAGACATATATATATTGAGGCAAGCGGTCGCTGACTCTTAGCCAAGTCAGGTAACCACCGCGTATCACTGCCGTCGCTATCTTGAACTCACGGCGGACAGACTTTGACCAGGGTACTTGTTGAGGAACTTACTCTACCTGCAATCGGGGTTTAAGTTTTCTGCAGGTGCGGTCGCAGGGTACGTCGGTTATGAATTACGACCTGCGTAGGCAAGTAAAACAGAAAACAAATATGTAAAGCAGTACATGGTCCCGATCCAGGCCCTTTACTAAGGCCAGTTTGTTCAAGGGGTCGCCCACAAATCCGACTGGATGGTTGGCGTTTATTTCCGAATCACAGTTTAGATACCTATCTAGTATGAGGACCAGCCCATCTTCCCATCTATGCTGAGTAACTGGGGGAGCGATTTGAGGTTGGAGGGGGCGTCCTCGAAAAAAGGGTTCTGAGGATAATCCCGATGTCTTCCTATGATGTATACATATGCCTCGCTTGATCATCAGCACTCTTAATGCGAATCAGTATATGAATAGGAGACGTAATACCCCGTAGGTAATCCGCAACTCCTTTTAGAAATGGTATGGTGGGTTAGGTGACAGTGAAAGGGGTAACAGGAGAAACGGTAAAAAGCAAAGGAGAAAAAATGACAAAAAATATACAGCAGCCACGGCGGGGGTCGAACCCGCTCTTCTCTCAACAAGACAAAGCATATAGTAAATATAATACGAGAAATGTTTGTGAGAGTGTGCACCATTACACCACGCGGCCTTTGTTAAGGGAAGGCAAGTCTATTTAGGATCTTATAGATAGGGAATCTTGTTCCTATGGTAAGTAGGCAGGTAGGCAGGATCCTATTTCGGTAGACTGACTATAAGTATAAGGTTCGAGGTTCAGATGGAAGAAACAAATAGGGGAAAGTCAATTTGCCAACTGGGCAGAACCTAGACACCAGCCAAGCTGCCAGTCGCTGTTTCAGGTCTCGATGGGCTCGGGTGCTTCCGTCCCATTCTTGTGCTTGTTCAACTACCGACTTAACTATGTAAGAGAATATAAAGCTTCTTATGTACCTGCTGAGTTAGATTGGTCTATCCCCATTTCTCTTTGTGGTCGGTCGCTGAGACGATGACCGGCTCATTTTTGGGGGGGGGGAGGAAAGCCGCGGGGCGCAGGCAGAAATTCTTCATAAATTCGTGACTTCGTGTCTATCTATATACATATGTAGTAAAGGACGAGAAGAAGTGCCTCTGATCTCTACCACAATATATATGATGTGCATGCTATGCTATGTTATGTATTGCTACATCGTAGTTCTAGATGTCAGTGTATATATCTAGTACATGCCCCTTGGCCTAGCGCTTGCTTGTTCGCTTACCACACAATATCCATATACAAGAAAAGTATTCTGTTCTGCCAAACAAACGACTGACTAAGCCATCAATCATAATCACATTATCACGCCAAACATCCTATCATATAATATCACGTAGTATTGTTATTCAACGCCCGGTCCATCTCGACCCGCCACTTACGGCTGTTGCGGCGCAGGAGCCAGATGACGACGTTGCCGCTAAGCCAGCAGACGAGGCCTAGGATGGTCATGAGCCAGCCGACGCCGACGGCATCGATGAGGGGCTGGCCGACGATGCCGCCCGTGCAGCTGAGGAGGTTGCGGACGAAGTTGTTGAGGGCGACGCCGCTGCTGGAGCGACGCGGCAGGAACTCGGTCAGCATGGTTGTGACGGCGCCGAAGACGAGCATGGAGCTGAGGCCGAAGAAGAAGTTGCCCACAGCCGGCACCGCCCAGTGCACGCCGAACTGCGCCGTCCACCCGAACCAGATCAAGGATGCCGGGTACAGCGACGCCGCGATCCACGCGTTGACGCCCATGCGGTCTTCTGGTAGTAGCACCAGGTTGCCGTCGGCGTCGTAGCGGCCCGCGCGCTCGGCCGCACGCACCATGATCTGGTCGATCCAGCGGCCCCCGAAGACCGAGGTGACGAAGTAGCCGAGCGAGCCCGGTAGGTACAACAGGCCTAGGATGATAGAGCTGAAACCGTACGGCGGCTGCGAGAAGGCCGACTGCACCGCGATGTTGAGCACGTACAGCGTTCCGAAAGTGATGGCCGAGTAGTAGATGGTGCACAGCACTGGTGGGAACCGCAGGTACGTCACCACCTCAAGAGGGTCTATCAAGCACCGTTTGAGAATCGCGGCCATCCGTTTTGCATGCGTCTGTACGGAACGTGCCGTCGACGACACGCGCGAGAGGTTGTTGGCCGTTCCATCGGCAGCTATCGTTGGAAGAGCCGGGACGAACTGCTTTTTCCGGGCCAGGGTTTCGGGCAGCGCAAACAAAGTCAGTATGAAGACGACGGCGCCATAACAGGTGAGGAAATAGGCGGTGCTGCGCCAGCCGTAAAACTGGGCCAGGATGCCGCCCACTACCGGTCCTAGCATGGGGCCCATCAAGGGGCCGAGATAGAAGATCCCCATGGCCCGGCCCCGCTCTCTGGGCTCCCAGATGTCAGAGACAGTGCCAGCGCCGACGGCTTGTACTGATGCAGATGCACCCCCCGAGAGAACGCGGAACACGATAAGCATAGTTATGTTCACGCTCATGGCGCTCAACAAGGAAAATATGATGTTTAGTAAGAACGAGACGATATAGATGTTTCGCCTCCCTAGCGTCTCGGAGAAAGACGACCACCATAACGGGAATATAGACATAGCGAGCATATATAAGGCGATAGTCAGATTCACCACCGTTGCTGACACCTCGAACTCCTTTGTCATCTCAGGCAGAGCGGCTATGGTGGCATGAGTATGAGCTCTTGGCATGTTCAGGGGTAGTATAAGTACTTACGGTAAAAGATAGCGGAGCCCATAGGGGCAGCAGCACCGGCGATTGCTGTGAAAGTAGTGATCAACCATTTTACTCGATTCGAGTACTCTTGTGGTCTCTCTACTTCAGGTATGAGGGTCCAATTCGCTAGAAGCCCCCGACGGTGTAGCCGGGTTACTATACCGGGGTCCCGACCCCGAGCGGGCCTCGGGAGCGAGGAGTGGGATGCTGAAGGGCGGATACCCTCTCCTAATTCACAAGCCGCTCCATCATCGATGTCCGGTGATGAACCACGGGCAGCTCCGGTTGCTTCTGGGGCCCCGTTCACAGTCTCGGTATCATCGTCCTTGCTCAATTGGGACGCAACTTCTGGCGTCTCTCCATCCTGCTTCTCGGGATCAATATCAATGGACATGTCTCCTTATAGTCAAGGACCAGCGTAGCCCGAGGTAGAAACGGAGCTGTCTTCCGATATCGGTCAAATAAGTATAACTACTATACTATAACACCAAGGACACAAGGACACTAGGGGTCGACGGAAAAGAAACTCGAAGCTCGACTTTTCATATAAGTCCTGTCTAGATCTAACACGAAGACCTACCCAAGAGTTTTCTGTAGCACTCCCGAAGGCGACTGGGAAAACAACGGGAAAAGGGTTAGGATACTCGAGACAAGAGCAACTCGGAAATAAGCCGTGAATAGCGTTGAGCAGGGTGGATTTTCGGCGCTAGACTAGGTTGGCGGCGAAAATAAGATCTCGGGAACTTACCAGCGGATTCGTCTGCCGAGTGCGTGGCTTATATAATAGGAGCATCAAGAGGAGGGTCGTAGCAACGTAGCAGTGTCTGGATGCATGGGATCACTGGGGATTCGGAAGACCGAGGTGACCCGTCTAGCATTGGTGGAGCCGGGACCAATGTTCTTTGGCCGGGTGTCGAATGCCGGAGACCAAAGCAGTCACCGCTTTGCCGCATTATTGGCTAATACCAGATGGCGGATAGTCCATCATGAAGTTGAGGAAGAGCGAGGGAGTGGGGGTTTCTGCGAATGGGTATAACCCCATTCTACCTAGTAGCAGACCCGTAGTCGTACACATTCCGCGTATATTGGCCTGGCGATGGTTCCTGTCATCGTTTCCGTCACCCCATATCGACATCGTTGACAAGTTTCTTTCCGTCTACCCATGCTCATCAACAACACTAAGCATAAGGTAGCTTGGACGTATCTCGTAATATCGAGAATCGAGAATCGAGAAGTGATTTCGGGTCGGGTCCGTCTCTTCCCCTCCCCGACGAACCCGACGTCGTGCTGTCACAGCTTTCTCATGTATGCATAGACGTGGAAGGGGTCTGCCGACGGCAAAAAGCAAGGAATGCCGAAACCGTCATAAGGTCATCAAGGGCGATCTATCACACACAGACGCGATAAAGAATACGTGACGCATTTCGTACGACGCCTGAGTGGGGAACATGAAGTGCATGGAATCCTCGCAGGCAGTCGTTCTGGTCGGTCACTGCAGACATACAGAAGAGTGGTAGTACCGAATATGGGATGAAGCTCAGAGGAGCGAAAGGGCAAGCCACGTCGAAGTGGTGATACCATGGCCGGCACGGACGCGAACTTACAGGAGACGCCCGGATGTGAAACCTACCTGCCTACATGACACTTGACTTTATGTTGACCGAGTGATATTGGCATCGATGCCTCCCGTATTTCTAGCAAACGTGGGGAAGCCTAGTAAGGTACATTCGATGTTCGGTGATGGCCGTCATTAAAAGCATCCAAAAACAGTTGTGACTACGTAATAACCTGGGTAGTTGTCGGTTGGATGGATATATGATGTGATATGAACCTCCTGGACTTCAAACACACACCTGCACATAGTTACAATGGTTTATAATGGTGATGGTGAATAGATGCATACCTAAGGTAGGTAAGTAGCTTAAAGTTGAAGGTCCGCTGGAACCTTGGAATCTTGGAACCAGCAACCTTGAAGGACTGCAGGTGATCGAGGGTGTCTTGCTTTGCGATTACCGGTACTTACCGGAGCATAAAATAAAGTGAGTCGCTCCTGTAGTATTGTACATACAGTATACGGAGTATGAAGTAGTGTAACTAGTGTGGCAGCTATGGCAGCTGCAACAGTGCGATTATAGGTCGGTATGTAAGTGCTACTTCGTACATATTTGACTACTGCGTAGGTATGTAGGCATGTAGTCGGGTAGCACTGGCCTAAATTTTGTCTTGGCATCACAATTTATGGAAGTTGTAAGTACAATCGACCAACGATCAACGACCAGCAACCAGCAACTGCAACCAGCATTAGCACTGCTTCTAGAGAACCTCGAAACGAGAGAAAGAGGAGAGAAAGAGGAGAGAAAGAATAGGAAGGGAAAGAGCAAACATCCCACGGCCGAATAGGGATGTCTCTCACCAACGCATCTCCCCTTGAAGCTGCTAAGTCAGCCAAGGGTGCATCCCATGTGCTCGCCACGCTGCCCACATCCGCCAGAAACGATGCACTGACTGCCATCCATGCCGGTCTCACAGCAGCCCGGGACGAGATCCTCGCAGCAAACGCCCGGGATCTCGAGGTCGCGCGTCTGGCCGCCCAGAATGGCCAGTTGAGCCAGAGCCTGGTCTCGCGCCTGGACCTGGGGAAGAAGGGCAAGTGGGAGGATATGCTGAAGGGCATCTTGGACGTCCGGGATCTCGAGGACCCTGGTGAGTCAGCCTCCCCTCCTATTTCTGCTTCCCGATAACTCCTGACTGACGACTATTTGCACCCGCAAAAAGTTGGCAAAGTGACGCTGCGGACAAGACTGGATGACGGCCTGGACCTGACGAGAGTCACCTGCCCGATTGGCGTCCTTCTAATCATATTTGAAGCGCGTCCGGAGGTCATTGCCAACATTGCCTCACTTGC